GAGTTAATAGCACCATTTATTACTTTGATTACAAAGGAAACACTAAGAACAAATCTACGTTTCTCAAGAGACGGTGAGGACAGCAGAAGCAACCTATTTTCATAGGGAGGAAGAAAGGCAATCGGATCCCAACCCAAATTTCTAAGGGCAAACAGCAAGAATAGCTTTTGAGCACATTCAATTGATTCTACATAGCACCTATATGAAGGAGACCACACAACAGAGGCGTACTCGAGTATGGGTCTAACCAAACACACGTACAGCCTTTTCGTAATGTAGGGATCATCAAGCTCTTTGGACCACCTTTTTATAAAACCAAGCGCGGATCTAGCTTTGCTTATCGAGAGCTCAATATGCAAGTTGAAACGTAACCTATGGTCAAATAGAACGCCTAAATCTGAGATCGAATCGACGTCCTCCAACTTATGCGAATCTATGAAATACTGAGTAATGAATGACTTTCTTCTTGAGAAAGAAAGCTTCTTACATTTACTCAGATTTAGTTTCAGAAGATTCACAGAGCACCATGCAACAAAATTATCCAAGTCTCCTTGAAGCTGATATGATTGCGATTCAACAGAGAAGGAGCAAAACAGTTTCACATCATCCGCATACATTAAGACCTGGCTGGAATTAACTACCGATGTGACCGAAGTGGCTGCCTTGAGGTACGCCAGATATACCGGGGAATTCATCCGAGGTGATAAAGTTGAACAAAACACTGAAGGATCTGTTGTGCAGATAAGAGCTTATCCATTTCACTAAATAGAAAGGGAAGCCAGAGCCTATGGTTAACCATATCAAACGCTTTGCTTAAATCAGTTTATATCAGATCTGTGCGAGAACCACTATTAGTGACTGTAGATCGCCCTTTCCGAAAGTCGTGCTGGTGCAGAGAAATATACGAATTAATGGCAAAGGCCAAATGCTGAGTCACAATTCACTCGAACAACTTGGGCAAGACGCTCAACTTGGCTATGCCTCTATAGTTCCCAACAAATTGTCTACTTCCACTCTAGTGGATAGGAATAAGGAAACTACTCTTCCAAAGCGAAAGGAAAACACCTAAATTCAAGGACAGATTAAAAATCTTTGAGATCACACCACATAACTCGACCGCGCAAGATTTAAGCACACATGATGGAATTCCATCAGGTCCTGGCGTACAACAATATTTTAGAGAACTCAACCCTTTAAAAACATCATCTTCCGAAATAACCAAGTTAGGAATTGAAACCGATTTAGTTATAGGATATGGGTAGTTTGCTGATAAATCGAAATTAGCAATCGAAAAGTTTCGTCGGAAATACTCAGCTAACAGATTTGAGATTTCAAAATCATCCGAGGAATCAGAGCCATTAAAAGAAACATGAAAGGGATATGTGGAAATTTTTCTCTTAGAGTTAACAAATTTACAAAAGTATTTAGGATTAGCAAACAGAGAGGATTTAATGAACTGAAGGTATCTGCAGTAATAATGGTGATTGAGGTGGTTAAATCTACGCCTCGCCAACAAGTAAGCGAAATAGTCGAGTGCAGAGCCACTTTTTAAATATTTTTTGAATAGCGTATTTTTTCTATTCTTTTAATATTTATTTGTCTTATTAAACCAGGGGGACACATGCTTCGAGTTTGGCGCTGCTTAATCGGAGCAGATGCAGCAATAGCTAGATTTAATGTATTGTAGAACGATGACAATAAGCTTTCAATACTTCCGGTTGAGAAACCAAGCCTCATATGTGAACAAGACAAAAAAAATAGAGGCTTAATTTTCTTACGATATTAAATACTATTTGACTAAGATGAAATTTAGATCTTCTTACGACTTAAAAAAAAAACTTTCGCATAACGCTAAAAATTAAATTTACTTATTGAAAGTCTGGTTATTCACTAAACATCTTGCTTGGTCCTCTTGGGTCGCCACCATTTAGAAAATTCCTTGAATATGAACCTCAGCATTAGCGTCAATAATAATAAGCTTAGGCATTGTCAATTAATAGTGATAAAGAATGCCGAAATCTGAGACATTCCAACAATTAAATTGGTTTCTCGTTTTTAGGTACGTTAAGCTATGTGCACAAATACTTTTATGCATACATAAGAATGACTATCTTTCTTTTAGCTTTTTCTGTTTTTGTAATCAAAAGTTAGCCGTACTAGCCTCCTTTTTCATTTGGCTACGTTTTTCCTTTGCTTAAACTTATTGAGATACAGGCAAACCTGTTTTTGTGCGATTGATAGGGACCGCAGAAAAAAAACCGCACAAAAAAAATATTCAAAAACTTCATAAATAGCTATAAGAAATAATTTTTCACAGCATATTAAAGAAATTTTTTTTATGCGGTAGAGAGGGACCGCATAAAAAAAGTCTCACTTAGAAAATATGTCAAAGCTTCACGAAATAGCAAGAAAGTGCTTTCCAAACAAAATAAATAATTAAATTACACATTAAAACATTTAAAAAAATTTTAATTTCTAATTTTAAACAAGGAGAAATTTTCAAAATGTACATAATTCAATACTACTCGTCGTAGTTCAAAACGCGCATATTTTTGCTATGAACTGGTTCGTAATCGCTTTCGTCATTTGAAGATACTGGAGTTGATTTATTTTCTGTTAAAATGTAATAGATTCCAGTTCTTCTTGTCCGTCTTCATGATCTGTTAAGTTATTGATAATGTCACTATCATTTACGGTTTCGTCCTCAATCATTTCAATAAGATCATTTTCGCTGAAAGAGTCAAAACCTTCTCCGCAGATTTGATGTGCTAGCGCAATGATATCTGATGATAAAGTGGACGTGGTGTCGGTTACATTTCTATTAATGACACATTCAGGCCAGACCGCTTTCCAGCACTAAGTATGAAAATGGCTGTTGCAAAGTGTACATACACACTGATAGCAAAAAAAGTGATGCCAACACAGTTCAGATTGACCTAACCTCTCGGCGAAATTCAATGTGTCGATATTCATATACCGCACAAAAAAAAGAATCGCACAAAAAGAATCGCACAAAAAGAATCGCACAAAAAAAAAGCGCATGAAAAAATACCGCACAAAAACAGGTTTGACTGTATTTATGACTGGACTCAACAAAAAAAAGACATTTTAAGAGACGATATTTTTTTTTCCACAATTTTTCGAAATAGCTGCAAACTTTTAGCTAAATCTTTTACAATTTTCTTTTTTTGTACTCTTTATAAAGCCTAAATCGAAATTAGCAATCGAAAATTATCTATGTTATACGCCAACCTTCAAATCCATAGACAACAAATAAATAAAAAAATATATAATGTTTTTGAGTCTTATAACATATAATATTTTTCCAATCACCACATACGAAACGCGGATTTGTAGGGTTTAGGATCACGGAAAATCGAATAAGAAAACTACACACGGAGCACCCGGATAGTAATGTGTTACATCATCGGTTGTATTGGCTGCCACTAGCTAAAGCTATTATTCTTTTGGTACAAGCAAGTAATCTTTTGTTTTTGCCGCTGTTGTATTGATATTCAAAGAATAGGTGTTCTAGTAATGTATAAGAGTATCCAATTACTAGAATGAACTTTTTTAAAAAGCTCTGAGTCTTACCCAGTTTAAGATATGCGTTACAAATTTGAGACCATATTATCAACTGAATTAAAGAAAACATTTGCATCAAGAATGTATATATTTTATGGAGTTCTTTTTGCGTATTTTTGCGAAGTATCTCCATGGGCGTTCATATGTGTTGCCACTTACACGTTCGAAAAATTAAAAGTAATAAAATTGTGATAAATCGGAAAACACGCATGTTAATGTGACACAAGAAAAAAATGGAATATCACAACGCCAAGCTTACTGCCGATTCCAAAATGGTCCCAATGAACATTTATACCAAGTCTCAATCCAATATCAATAGAAGACCATGTAATCAAGAAACATTGATTTAAAGTTGATTTTAAAGAAGGCTTTAGGATTTTGTTAAAAACATTTTACTGGGCTGCTTTTCAAATTCAATGAATAATTTCTACTGAAGTGCTTTTTTCTCATAAAATTAGTTCAAGAACTGGAAAATGTATTTGGAAGAGGTCTTGATTACGATACTGTTACTTTCAGTTCTAACAAATCTAAAATTTGAGATCTTTAATTCACAGATTTTAATCGATTATTTATTAACGCAACACCCTTTTTTAAGTGCGCGCAATAACTTACGCTTGCAATCTTCATTACTGATGTACATCTGCGATATTAAGGTTGAATTGATCGCCAATTGGAGCAATTATTCTACTCTCCTGAAGGTGAACAAATGAAAACCCAAGTCCCTTCAAAAAATGTTGTCACAACTACCATCTCTATATATTTATATGCCTGGCACGAAGAGACATTATGTTCGCGGCTAACTGTGTCCAAACCCGAGTACTCTTGCAAATAATGTCTAAAAATTAAACAGTCATTAAAATAATAGAAAGATGTTTTGAAAGCAAGTACCAAATAAGACAAAGGCTTTCCGAATTTTCTTGCCACTACAAAGAAGTAATTAGAAATGATTCTATCTTTACAAAAATAAGGATTGAATTTTAAAAGACACCATTAGATCTTCAAAACCCTCCAAAAATTTCGGAGAGGTTTGCGAACGAAATTTTTAATAGAGCATTTTTTTCACATAACGGAGCCGAACTTCTCAAATATTTGAGAATTTTATTTAATCATTTAGGCGCATATGGTAATAATACTACAATAAATAAACGCAGTCCAGAAAACATGAAATAAGTCATTTGGCCTTCTAAGTATAAGGGATCTGGGAAAGTATAAACATCGAACCTCCGAAGTCCGTACAGCAGACACGGATACTCGTTTAATTTACTATAATTGCAATACTACTCTTCACTTTAGTAACGTAATGAAGAGAAATACAATCTTGTTAGTGACGTGCATTGCAAGAGATTTTGATCTAATGTTATGTTAACCAAATTATCCGTTTCAGAACTAAATATAATAAAAAGGATAGTACAAACCTGTTTCTCCTTTAATAGTCGCAATCTTTGCAATAGAGGTAAACCTGCCCCAATTGGACTAGAAGTATAATTAGATTTCTCGATTTTCTCTTCCAATTTCTCGTCTGTTTCTTCCGAAAACGCACATGGCATCTGACTTATTTCGGACCTGCAATTCTTTGGAGATAAGTTTCGAATATGTTGCATTTCTATCGCTTCATTACGTAAACGAGAATTCCTAATTTTGAAATTCATATTTTATAGAGATACATAAAAACAAACATAACATATTTAAATGGGCTCACCGCGATTTTTTAAGCACGTTAATTAACTCTTTTACATCATTCTTCAGTTTATCATCCACCTTCTTTGAAGCTGCGTTTTCACCGGAATTATCATTTTGAATGGTAACATAACTCAATTGTTTTTGACGGTTCCGTGGACCAACTCCTCCTTGCTTGTCTGTTTGCGACTTTGCGTACTTTTTATTCACGCATCTCACTTCCATTAATCGTTTACGACCCAAAGTTTGTAAAATTTCCTGAGCGTCTGGATAATCTTTCATTGCAGTCAGTACATCTTCCCTTGATAGTGAGAAAAGTTCGGAGTAACCCACTGAACGTACGTCAGCTGTACGTCTTCAAAATATAATACGAAAACTTTTAAAGTAAGACAGTAGGAGAGTGGCTACATTCGGCTGAGCCGAATCACTAATGCCCACAACTAGGTATTAGTAAAAATTAGGTTCATATTCATGTTATTTTGCCTCGAAGAGAAAAAATCTTTTCTCTATCCATAAACAACAGCCCAAGATTTCTGCAGTCGTTATTTAAATAACAGTCTACTTTGGATTGTACTAACCCCACAGCTCATTCTGCACATTATTTGCTGAACTGGCTTTTCGTCAGTTCTCGTAAATTACATTATATTTAACTTGAATTATTCGTCTTTATCATTTTGGATAGAGTTTTTTTTAAGTTTGACATACGTTGAGTGTTCCCTTCCCTTATATATTTTATATATTACATATGATGCTGAATATCGTTTGTTTTCATACAATGCACGTAGCGCTGTTCATTTATTGCCTTTAAAAGAAGAAGCATTTGTAACCAGCCCTGATACAACTAATCTATGACACTAATACAAATGCCAAGGTAAAAACCTCTTCTGCTTAAACTAAATTAAAAATTGGCCAAGAGGACTACAATCAGGGCGGTGATTCTAGACCACTTCGCATAATATCATCATTCATTCATTTTCGTGGTAATAAACCAAAAATTATACACTATTTTTATTTAAAAGAATACTTTTCACATTATGGAATGGTCAACACAGCAACTATCGTGGTAAACTTAATTTAATTTTCAAAATTTTTATTATTTTTCAGTTGCTTTCGTCATAAAATGCTAAAAATTAGACTTTGTCATCATAGAAGGACCTGTTATTTAGGAGAGCCCCTGTATATGATGGGTTAAAAAAAATAGGCCTAAGTGATACAACCACCCTGCGCCTAATTTTTGTGCTACATTGTTACTATAGCCTCATTTTCATCATAAAATATTAAAAAATATACCTTTTTTCCAAAACAATTCGTCCTTAGGTACTAAATTCGATTTAAATAACTCGAAAGCTGCCACATATGGTTTGAACACAAAAATGTGTGGGCAGACATCAGACAGACAGACGGAATATATCCTGTACTACCAGTGGTTTAGGATATAAAAAATTTCAAATTAAGCAGAAATCAATTAACAAACGGGAATGAAAAACACCAGTGCCTACTGCCAATAAACACAAAACTGTATCTGTTTCGACGTAAGCAAGCAAAGTTTGGCAACCGATTATTGGGAAAAATTGAAGTGTTCGCAATAGGTGCTCCTTAGTGCTATTATATAATTTCGATATTGAAATTAAATTGCAAATGTAATAGTGATTACTTTTTTATGTAGAATTCACAATACAAATGAAATTCTGTATAACCTATGCAGAATTTGTAAATCATACCAAGTTTTTTCTTTTTCTGGGGATATAAATAATCATCATATACTACTGCAAAAGGAACAAAAAAAAAAAAGATAAATTTAGGGGGGATATATAAAAAAACTGTTAAAAAAGAAGAGCAGAAAAACAAAGAAAAAACTCACCTAGTTATGAAAATGTTCAGACGGAAAAAAACAATGATATATATATATATATGTATATATTGCTGCAGACAACATGAACCAATAATAAAGCTCATAATTGAGTGCACATCGTTTCAGGTTAATTAATTGAAATGGACTAGTTACGCAAAGAATTTTTAAAATTTATTTTCTACAACGTACATTCGCTCTCTTACTGAAAACGTGGGTTTGTAAGCTAATAAACACTGCATAGGATATCGACCAAGATTATGTAAGGCAAATAGTAAGAATAATATATGGACAGATTCAAGTGAGTTACTGTGATAGCTAGGAGGCAAAGCAGCTGCAGCATGTTCGAGTAGTTCTGACCAGCCCCGTACAATAAGAAAAAGTCAATTTTTTCCATTTTTCCAAGCAGAAGAATATATTATTGTTATTATTATACCATCAGACTAATGAAGTTCTTAGACTAGAAAAAAAAGACATTGAACACTAGCAACACAGATATCGGCTCTAATTTAAATAAATGAACGTTAAATAATGAGCTTAGTAGTATTAATAAAGTAATATATTGAATTGATATTCTGTTCTGAAGCTGATTTTAGAATGTCCAAAGGGTTAGTCGTTCCAAATACAATACTTCTAGTCAAGGAAAAGTTAAGGCAATCGCAGAGAATGTGCTTTAGTGAGAGTTTATACACAACTGCAGATTGGGGAGGAAGACTTCTTCAAGATCCATTGATGAGTTGCAAGTGTATGACTAAGGCGAATTCTCGAAAATGTTTGGATCTTGGTTTTCTCAACATGTGTTGGATATAATGGTGGAGTTAATTGAGGGTTAACGGAAGCCGATATGACTGGGTACCTATAACAATTCAATTTTTTCGTCGGATGTTGTAATAATATTCCTTAATTTGTCGATGGTGCTCCATCTTGAAGTCGAAGGATTCCGTATAGCTTTTAATACAGACAAACTGTCAGTAACGATGACAGTTTTGAGTTTGTTTTTATGGGAAAGGTTCGCAGCGTGAAGGATAACTCTGGCTTCGGTTGTGAAAGTTGAAGTACTTTCGTGAAATATGTGGTTGAGAAGAACCTGTCCTATAGCATCAACCACGGCACAAGCAGGAGGCAGACCAGAAGATTTTGAGCCGTCTGTGTATAAAAGATTCCAACCAGTGCTTTCCAATATTTGAGTTTTTTCAGCTATCAGATTCCTGAAGACGTAATTTAGTGTATTTTCTTTCTTGTGCATAGACAGCGAAATGTCAAAAGAGCAGTCTTTCAAAATCCATTGAGGTTCAACACCAAAAGAGCGGAAAATTTTTAAGAGAATGTTCAACTCCTTTGCGACGTACAAACAATAGTCAATTGCAGATGGTGACTTTGGAATTTTCTTCGCAATAATAATCTTTCTCACGTTATCACCGAGAATAGATTTGTTTGAATTAAAAAGCTTGGGGACTCATAAAGTCTATTTTCTAAAGTTGGGAGACCAGTTTAAATTACAATATTATTTATGGGCATCGCCCGAAAAGCATAACAACTTGCTCTCACGGCTTGGTGATAGACCGGTTTAGGGATGTTGATATTAGATTTGCAGCTATTGCCGTAAATTATCAAAGCGTAGTCAATCTTGCTTAACACAAGCATTTTAGTAAGATAAGCAATAGTGTTAATATGCGAATGGCTTGTCCAAGCAACGTATTATATGAAATTCACTCTTGTTAAAATAGAATTTTTTAACCGAAGACAGTGTGTTTTCCAACGATATTTGTTCGAAAAAGTGAGCCCGAGAATATGCATCGTCTTCACGTTTAGTATTGGTAAGTCATTAATATGCATCAGTAGATTTCCTGCATCGCATATCTGCTTTCGACAAAAGTGCACTTTTTTAGATTTTTGTATGGAAATTTTAGCCCCCGACGAGTTTGCCCATACGGAGATCTCTCGTCCAATAGATTCGAGGATTTTGATTGCCTTGGTGCTATCTTTTTCTTTTGTAAAAATGTACACATCGTCTGCGTAGAGACAATGTTCCACTCTTGGTACACGACAAAGAATTTTACTAATTTCGTTGAAGGCGATTTGAAAAAGCGTGACAGAAAGAGGAGATCCTTGCGGAATGCCATCCATTAGCGGAAAGGAATCAGAGATATGATTGTTGATTCTAACTTTGAACCGCCGATGTGACATAAATGATTTGATGTAGTTGAAGAATTTCGGTCCAACATTCCATGATTTCAAGAGTCTTAAAATAACATGAAGACCAACTCTGTCAAATGCCTTTTCGAAATCAATTGAAAAAATTGTTACATGGTTTCGTTCGGAAATTGCTTTGCTTGTAAAATAATCAATATGTAACAGAGCGTCGATGCACCCACTACCCCGCTTGAAACCAACTTGTTGCTTTGTTATCAGTATCTTGGACTCAAGAAACTAAGATAATCTAGATGCCATAATCTTTTCCAACACCTTTGAGAGGCAAGATAAAAGAGAGATAGTCCGATGCGATGGAAATATTTTTTGACTTTGGAATTGGAACAACTGTTGCCAGTTTCCACATGTAGGGTATATACCCTATGGCCAGTCATAAATACCGTATTATATAGGTCCAGTAATTTCTTTTTACTACACTTAGACATAGCACTGATCATTTGGTATGAAATGCGGTGTAGACTAGGTGTCTTCCCCTTCAAATTGGAGAGACAACTTCCAAGTTCTGAGGTAGATACGCAATTTTCCAGGAATATGGCACATCTATCGATATTATTTGAAAGAGATATTGGAGTCTTTTTATTTTCGATGAAAGCACTGGAGAAGTTGTTGTCAGAGAAGTATTCGCACCACACTTTTCCAAAGTAATTAGAAATCTCATCTGCGTCAGTTAAAGTTCCATAGGGATTGCAGATGGCAGAGATTTCGTTCAGATTTGAAGTCCCATTAAGTCTGTTGATTTTGTTCTAGACAACTTTCATTGATGTATTCCTGTGAATTCCTCTCGAAAAAAGTTCGAAACTAAGTGCCTTTGATTTTCGTAGTTCCTTCCTGAATAGAGCATTGGCCTTTTTGTATAATAACAAATGATCCTGATCAGGGTATCTCTTAAAGCGGTGCCATAGATTCATTTTATTTTTCCTCAAAAACGAAAGCGTGTTGTTCTACCAAGGAACCCTAGCTCCTTTAAAAGAGGTGTTGGATTGAGGAATAGAAAGATGAGCAGCCGTGCGAATCGCTTTAGACATAATAGCAGCATCATGGTTGCAGTTCCCGTTAAATGGCTTTGAATTCAAGAATGACTCCACCTGTTTGGAGTAGTTGATCCAATCCGCTTTATCTAGGAGGAATTTGGCCTGTTTTGCTGGAGTAACAGAGGACGATGAAAGTTTAAGATCGATTATGATTGGAAAGTGATCGCTATTATGCAGATCATCAGAAATAGACCAGGAAACCAAAGGAAGAAGTGAGGGAGAGCAACAAGCTAAATCAATATGTGAGAATGTGGAAATACGGAG